ATTCAACCAGTAATAGAAAAACCTGGCAATGTTCACAGATGCTACTATATTTCCATAAAATACACGGGGATTTAAAACTAGACAACACTAGACAAGGTAATAGTTATATATGCCAGAAAAATATACACAGAGCACATTTTAAAAGCATCAGTGCAGCAAGCAAATGTGAATTCCTGCTCCAATCCTGTATTTTTGCTGAGACCAAAGCAAACAGGCCCAAGCCACACCACACATGTAGGGGACTCTGGTGCACCAGGATGAGTCCATTCAAAGCCCTGTGACCTGCACCTAATCTGCACAGCTCTGAACACTCTCTAAGAGGCCAAACTTCCTAAACTTTTGCCACAAACAGCAATATTTTGAAAATATAACTTATATGCCTTAGTTCCTTTAAGAAGTTCTGAAAATAGGTGGTAAGTTTCACAACTGCTATACAAAGAATTCTTTTCGAGAAACACTGCATCCTAACATCTGTACTTCATCTAAGAAACTCAAAGGATTAATTGCTTCACTAACTTTCACATATGTGGGTTTAGTTATGTATCAGTGACATGCTCATTTCTTCTTAAAAAAAAAAAAAATTCAACCTACTAAAGCTTTAACTGAGATGTCAAAAGGCATGAAATTCTATCAATAAAAACTCATTCCACTGACTTATTGTTTTCTTTTTGCTGTATTCTCTTAAAACACCTTTATTCTTCTCTGTCACTGACTGAATTCATTTATCAGGAATGTTTTTCATGACTAGAGGGATCAGGTAAAGTTTGGGTGTAATGGAATTCTCACGGAGAGAAAGGAAAGCAAAGGTTCTCAAAAAAGAGATGATGAATTATCTCCCAGACACCTCAGGAACTTGCCCCTGATCAGAGTCAGTGACACATTCCAAAACACAAGACTTCTGTAAGAAATTCCAGAAATGAAAATGATGAGTCAAAGAACACATGCTTTTTAAATTTTGACAGCAATTACCACGAAAATTTATATATACTGTTTTGATTTTTTACAAGGTGAATGTATTTATTAATTTATGTAAGTAAAAATCTATTTAAATACCTTTTTAAAAAAAAGTACAATCCACACCCTCACCAGGAGAGCTTGTTTTCTCCATAATTTGCTCCTAAGTAGGTATTACCAAAGAAGAAAGAAGATTTCATAAAAGATAATGTGTTCGATTTTTCCAAAACAGGCAAAAAAAAAAAAAAAAAAGACACCATGCTATCCTTTGACCTCAACTCTGGTATTAATTTCACTTGTAACACTTAGACATCCCCCTCCTCAGTTTAACAAAAAAAAAAATTTAAATGTTAGTTTTCCTTCAAAATAAAGAAAGCTAACATTTATACTGTATATACTATATACCTGTTGCCACTGAGTCAATTCCAACTCATAGTGACTCTATAGAATAGAGTAGAACTGCCTCATAGGGTTTCCAAGGAGTAGCTGGTGGATTCAACCTGCCAACCTTTTGGTTAGCAGCCTGAACTCATAACCACTGTACCACCAAGACCCCGTATACGCTACAGCATTTTAAAATGCTAGAGCTTGCTGGGTACAGTAAGCAAATTTGAATTCCTCCTCCAACAGGACCATTTTGGCTGAGACTAAAGTAAACAGGTCCAAACCACACCACACATGTAGGGGACTCTGGTGCACCAAGATGAGCCCATTGGAAAGACTGCAACCTGTATGGAATCTGTACAGCTCTGAATGCTCTCCAAGAGGCTAAGCTTCCTTTTGGCACAAACAGCACAACATTTTGAAAATACAACCTATATAACTTAGCCCCTTCAACAAGCTCTGAAATTAGCTGGTAAGTTTCACAATTGCTATACAAAGCAGAATTCTTTTGGAGAAGCACTGCATTCTGGAAATTTTTTTTTTCATCAAGCTTATCAAATAAATTCACTCCCAGTAATCAAAAAAACTGCTCCATATGCTTTAGCTGTTTTTAGCATCATAGAGCAAAATACCATATAAGAAAAAACAGATATGAGCATAACTGTCTTAAGTATACAGAACAGAAGTGTCTTCATGTCAATAAAATCCTTTTCAAGGGAACTTGAAGCAAGCCATTCAAATAGAGCAAATCCTTGGGAAATGGGGTCTTCTAAGCATGACTATTAATTATCAGTCTAAAGATAAATGTAGAGTCATCTAGTTTTAAAAGCCAAGATCATTTTGGAGATCACCTATCACAACCCTCTGATTATAGACAAGAGAACACTGAAGCCACAAAGGCAGGGGCTTGCCCAGAGCAGGAAGTCAGCAGCCGTAACTACAACCCAGGTCGCCTGCCTCCAAGTTCCATTCCATCTCATCAGATTGTGTGTGCTTCGAGCATGTGGTTCCCAAACATGTCTGCACACTGCAGTCGCCAGTATCAAAGAATACTTATGTCTGTGTTCCATCCCTACATTTATGATTTAATTGGTCTGGGGTGTTGCTTGGGCTTTGGACATTTTAAAAGATCCCCACATGATTCTAATATACGGGCAAGTTTGGGAACTTGTCAGATTGAACTTACCAGATAGAAAAATTTCACTCCTGTAAACTCCCTACCCTTTTTTTAATCAGTAATTAGTCATGTGGTAGATATCATTTTGGGCTGCTTCCAGTACTGCTAACAGCCTACCCCTGAGGCCTTCTAATTTACTGTTTCTAATCCATTGTAGGCTGGAAATATCTGCTAATCACACTTGCTAAAACTTGATAAAAAATAAATCTGTGCTGAATGAGGATGAGGGTTCCCTCATCTACACACACTTTGACATAGTTATTTTAGCTACTTAGAAGCCACTGACAAGTACTTCGGAAAACATAAACATTTTGGGAATTTCTAATAAATGTAAATATATACTTACTAAACAAACCAGTAACCCCAATTCTAGGTATTTACCCAAAATAAATGAATATATATGCCCACACAAAGACTTGAATATGAATGTTTATAGCTGTTTCATTAATAATCACCAAAAACTGGAAACGAGCCAAATGTCTATCAACAGAGGAACGGATAAACAAACTGTGGTCCAACGGAGTATCACTAAGCAATGAAAAGGAGCAAACTAGGATTATGCTAAAGGGAAGAAGCCAGGCACAAAAGGCTACATACTGATGATTCCATTTATATGACATTCGGGAAAAGGCTATATGGTTGGGACAGAATTAGATCAGTGATTGTCAAGGGCTGGGGAGGTGGGAAGGGAGAGACCACAAAGGGGCACGAGGAACTTTTTGAGGTATGGAAAACATTCTATATATTGACTGTGGTGGCCATGACACAACTAAATGCATCTGCCAAAGCTCATCAAACTATACATCTTAAAAGGGTGGATTTTACTGTATATGAATTATACTTCAGTAAATCTGACTGTAAAAAAAGCCTTTGACACATATTTGGGAGTTTTAAATGGTCCTCCAGATTTAGGATTTTTGAAATTGTGTCATCTCAGAATCAGAAAGAATCTAAACAACAGTTGTCCGGCCTGTATTTAACACTTTCAACAACACGTAACTCACTACCTCCCAAACTGGTCCATTTCACCTTTGGCACCTCTGCTAGGATGTCCTTTAATTTAAAACACACACACGCGTATGTATACATCATATACAAAACCAAAACCAAACCTGTTGCCGTCAAGTTGATTATGACTCATAGCTACCCTATAGGATAGAGTAGGACTGCCCCACAGGGTTTTCAAGGAGCGGCTACTAGATTCAAACCTGCCAACCTTTTGGTTAGCAGCTGAGCTGTGAACCACTACGCCACCAAGGCTCCAATATCATATACAGATACACCAAAAAAGAAAAGAAACACCAAAAACCAATTGTCATCAATTTGATTCATTTTCATGGTGACCCCATGTGTGTCAGAGTCAAACTGCACTCCATAGGATTTTCATGGCTGTGACCTTTCTTCTGAGGTCTCCCTGGACATACATGTACATATATTCCTGTAGCTTCTACCCACTGTTCATGTTTTGTGCTTTATTTCAATTGTCTGAGTTACTGACCCAGCCACATTATTTCTTATGAAATATCCTCTAAAAGCACTTTGTACTTACGGCTTTTCAAATTCCTTGTTCTTTTCCCCAAAACTAAAAATTTTAGTAAAGTTTCCATTTTTCCCATACTGTAAAATGCATTTTCACAAATTTGACAGGTTATGACTACGTAACAAAAACTAAGGTGTCTGTTTGCTTTTCCCCATCACTCCTTTGAATCATTCTGCTGCTGACTGCTAATTTGGAAATCCTTTATTATGAAACTCTGCTTTTTCCCAGGATTATGACCCCTCTAAGTAGTTCAAAGCAAGGATCTGCAAAGACGTTAGCCAAGTGGAATGACACATCAAATCACGAACTCACACTACTGCAGTTTTAAAAACTCTAAAGAGCCAAAAAATCAGGACCAATTCTTTTCCCCCTTCAAAAACTTGGACCACTGTGTCAGACAGACACACAGACCACACACTGAAAGCACCCAAGGGAAGGAAGATAACATCTCATATCTTTAACAGTTTAAATTCATGGTGTGATAAAATAAATGTCACACTTGCAGTGAACTGCTACACAACTAAATGAAAATGATGCTCCTTTCAGTGCCTGTTTGCCTTTATGGACGGCAATATAAAGTAGAACACTTTGCAAATTATTTCTCCAATCTTTAGAGATTAACATATTCACTAAAATTTCACCAAAATTAGAACAACTACTACTACCCACTGAAATATTATTCTATAATATTTCCTTTATCTTACAGGAATAAAAAAAGAAAACCTAGTCAATCAAAAAGTCAAACAGTTCAAACAGAATAATACTAGCATTTCACAACAATGTATTTCAGTTCTCACCATGAAAAGTTTTGTAGTTGTAGCGCACATTATCTGCAATAATACACTGACATTTCACTTTGTTTTTATCTATGTTGTCCTTAAAACACATGATACTATTATGTTCATACACGTGGTTAACAAACAGAAAAAGTAAAATATAACTCACCAGACTAAATCCCAGAAGATGTCAGTGTACAATTTCCAATGAGTCCCAAGGGAACACAGGCATAATAAATTTTCTGCTCTACTCCAGATACTAAACATGAAATATAAAAATAAACCTTTAATTTAACAAATAAAACAACTTATCAAGCAATTAAATCAATTCTAACTGCAAAACAGGATGAAACTAGCAGAAGGTACTAACAGGCATATTAGGGGGGGGAAAAAAAAAACCCCATTGCCATCAAGTCAATTCCGACTCTCCGCGACCCTACAGGACAGAGCAAAGCTGCCACACAGGGTTTTCAAGGAGCAGCTGGTGGATTTGAACTGCCGACCTTTGGGTAAGCAGCTGGAGCTCTTAACCACTGTACCACCAGGGCTCCAGGTATATAGGATATAATAATAATTCAATTAAAGTAATTTTGAGTTTGTTCAGCTAAAGGAAACCTCAAACATTTTAGCATGCTAGTTCATCTGTATTCTGCGGCATAAACTCTGGACTAAAGAGACAATAAAAACTCAGGGTATAAATGTTGATTTCACTATACTAGTTTATGTGTGTATTCAGTAGTTTCACAGTATCCTATGAAAAAAAAAAAATTCTGAGGGTGGGGTCAAAAGAACAGGTCCTAGCCCTGGCCTTGCCAAGAATTCTGACTCTTGACCTTACGTAAATAACAATCTTTAAAATGAGGATAATGATACTGCCTTCCTCCCTCATACATTTGTCATGTGGATCACATGAGATGAGGAAGGTGAAAGAGCTTTACACGTTGCAAAGCCTGTAACAGATGTGTCATGTTACTAATAGGCAATTTTTTGGTGTCTACTCATTTAGTCATAACAACAATAAAAATTCTTCATAAGACTGCTGTGAAGCAAATGATTGGAAGGCTCTTGGAAAATGTTAAAGAGCCAGAACTACCAAGGAAGAAAGGAAAACACAAAGAAACAAAACAAAAACAACCACTTCTTTGTAGTTACCCCATGGCTTAAGGTTCCCAACATCTCACCTGTGCCTTCCCCATCTTACCTGGGGATTTAAAGTGTAAGAGAACCTATCTTGATCTTCTACCTCCCCAGTTAATGGAGTTAATTTGTTGAGATCAAGAAAACTCCCCAAAGTCCTTTTCCACCTGTAAATGACTTTCTTTGGCTGGTGAGTTTCTGCGGTTGTTGTGTTCAACTTTGGGAGAAGAGGCTCAACAGAGCTAAGGGGATTCATTTTACCTAAACAGGTACTCAGGGTCTGAAAAAAATGGCAACAGTATAACACATTCTCAAACAGAATACAAAAAAAAACACGGGAAAAGGCAAAGAGTGTGTCACTGGATTTACTTTCCTTGCCAGTACAGAAGAGCTTTATTCAAAGGAAATTGGATAATTACTGAATTATAGTTATTTGTTTCCTCAGCTCCTTGAGCAACCTGCAAGAGCTAATGCACCAAGAACAGGCACTCCGAGAAACTACATGTTATCAACCTTTGGAATGACTTTAGATTTATATAACAAGACATGCCCCCTTTCATTTCTTTTGCCACAAACTATTTTCAAATTGGGTTATCAAGAGGCCTACATTTTAATTAAGATTTAGTTCTACTCTCACCCATAAAGCCTCTGGTTTTAACATAAAATGGTAATATAACAAAACTGTTATCTAATAATCTATTAACTAATATTTTACTTAATGTATCCAAAAACCCAACCCCGTTGCCATTGAGTCAATTCCAACTCGTAACGACCCTACAGGACAGAGCAGGACTGCCCCATAGGGTTTCCAAGGAGCAGCTGGTGGATTCGAGCTGCCGACCTTTTGGTGAGCAGCCGAGCTCTTAACCACTATGCCACCAGGGCTCCGTTTAATATAACTACCCCAAAATGATTTAAGTAAACAATTTTTAATAGGGAAGGTGATAAAAAGAAACCAATATTTTTGAGCACCTACTATATGACAAGAGCTATAAGAAATTTATATAATTTAATCTTAACAATCACTCCATGAGGAAAATGTATCTGCATTTTAAGGTATTTGATCAAGTAATCTAAGCCCCAATCGTCTGACTCCAAAGTCCATTTACTTTGCTTTACACACAGTGTGGACACTATTCAGTGATAAGCCCTGATGTAGATCTTTTTACACAATATTTATGCTCCACAAAAATGTTTACCAATCAATTTCTACAAATGGAATCCTATCTTAAATGTGTGCGGAGGCACTTTATTTAAAAGTCTTATTACCTCATTTGTGAAATGGTTGAGGGTACTTAGTTCTACCTACTAGCTCTAAGGCTATTTCCTACCTGAAAAATGTCAGGATCCTAAGGCATATAGTGGAGAAACTTTTGTACAAAATATTTCTAAATCATGGTCTCTTTGTTCTAAGAGGTTATACTATAAAGTATTTTTAAAATTGTAAGTTATGAGGCAGGATAAAATAGATCAACAAATAATTGCTGGTTATATGGCTGGATGTCAAATACAGATAAATATTTCCACTTAATGTTTCAGGACTACATCTATGACAAAGTGAGATATACTTCATTTGGACTTTTCGAAATTTCAATGGAAAATCAAAAAGGTGGAATATTAGAAAAACCTGAATCTCTTTTAATTCTAAATAAAGTTTTTGTTTTTGTGCTTTAAGTGAAAGTTTACAGTTTAAGTTAGTTTCTCATACAAAAATTTATACACACATTATTATGTGACCCTAGTTGCTCTCTCTATAACGTGACAGCACACTCCCCTTTCCACCCCAGATTTCCCATGTCTGTTCAACCAGCTCCTGTCCCTTTCTGCCTTCTCATCTCGCCTCCAGACAACAGCTGTCCATTTAGTCTCATGTATCTACTTGAGCTAAGAAGCACTCTCTTCACAAGTATCATCTTATGTCTTATCATCCAGTCTAATCATTGTCTGAAGAGTTGGCTTCAGGAAAGGTTCCAGTTCTGGGCTAACAGAATCCAGGGGCCATGTCTTCTGAGGTCCCTCCAGTCTTGGTCAGACTATTAAGTCTGGTCTTCTTACTAGAATTTGAGTTCTGCACCCCACTTTTCTCCTGCTCCATCAGGGACTCTCTGTTGTGTTCTCTGTCAGGGTGGTCACTAGTGGTAGCCAGACACCATCTAGTTCTTCTGGTCTCAGGCTGATGGAGTCTCTGGTTTCTGTGGCCCTTTCTGTCTCTTGGGCTAATACTTTCCTTGTATCTTTGATGTTGTTCATTCTTCTTCGCTCCAGGTGAGTTGGGACCAATTGATGCATCTTAGATGGCCGCTCACTAGCTAATTCTAAATAAAGTTTTAAAACAGTCTAAAATCTCATTCAAACTTTCATGTAATTTACATCACATATTCGGTGATACAGTCTTCTTTTCGAGCTTTTAAATGCATTGGAAAAATATGTACACTTCGAAACATTTTTTACACACCCAAAGAAAGAAATCAACCTAAAACTTCAATCTGGATTTGAAAGCAAGGGAGCCTTATCCAGCTCTTGCACTGGAGCTGATGTGGAAGACTAGGAAACGGATGGTGATTTCATAGTAACAAAGTGTAGTAACTGATTATCCCTATTATGCCTGTGCCAAGCCAAAAATAGAATACAAACAGAGTCCAAGAGATGTGTACAAGGTGAAAACAAGGTGCAGCAGCTCCATCCCATTGTCGTTTTTTTTACTCATTTCTGACTCTCCTCACTGTGCGTAATTGAGCGCTATCAGTGCACAGCTGCAAAGAGGAGGATGGTGATGAAGATGATGAAAAAGAAGAAAAAGAAAATAAATAAAAATGAGGCCAGAAACCAGTATAAGAATATACTTTCTTTAAGAGACTGCCTATAAAGAAATCTACTACAAAATTATAGTAAGGTTTTACCCATCCCCCATTAATAACAATTAAAAGACTGCAATTTAAAAGTCCCAAATATACATATACCTTCCAAATAACAACACTCATTTTTATACTACTTTAAAAATCTATAAACCTCAAACACTTACAATTGATCTGGCTAATGCTTTGAACATGAAGGCTTGGAAAGATAAGACATAAATGGATCTCCTTTCAACAGTCAGCAAGAGGGAGAAGAATCCCTGTGAAATTCCTACAAGATGGACTAAATGCTGCATAGAAACAGACTGAAGTAAAAACAGAGCAAAAACTATAGGACACGATGCTTCCAGCTGTAAATAGTGGTGTATTCCTCTGCTCACGCAAACAGAGAGCCCTATGACCTTATCCTGTAAACAATAAAACTGGGAAAAATTAAGCATGGCCAAGAGCTGCCAAGCAGGCCTCTGGGGAAGAAAGCTGTGGGTGACTAAGCAAAAGACACCCAGTATTTGACTGCAAATGAAGCTTCTACAAATAGAAGAGTTTGCAAAGATCAACTAACAAGCACGTCAAATTCCTCGGGTATCGTGATAGTACGGTGATAGATCTCAGCAGAGGTGAATAAAGAATGCCCTTCACAAGTAGGCTGACCCTAAGTCTCAGTTCCTAGCTCGTGTCCTAGCACAGTTATTTACAGCACCCGCATTATCTCTCAAATGTGTCCCAATTTGGCAATTATATTGTTACCCTACTCAAAAGTAATATATAACAATGCAAAGGTAATGAATTAAGAAGGAAAAAAAAAGTCTGCTTGCATAATGGCTTCCCAAACAGATCTAAGGAGTATTTCTTTATGTGTATGCACTCAGCCATTCAATTACTCACTTACTCATTCAGTCATTCAACAATATTTCTTGAATCCTATTATCTCCCAGCACTATACAGGCACTGGGTCAAATACGAAGAGTGAGAGCTGTGACCAGGCCAGAAATTAATAAATAAGGAAATTAATAAACCTACCCTGGTGGCGCAGTGGTTAAGAGCTCAGGCTGCTAACCAAAAGGGTGGCAGTTCCAACCCACCAGCTGCTCCTTGGAAACCCTATGGGGCAGTTCTAGTCTGTTCTGTAGGGTTGCTCTGAGTCAGAATCAACTTGATGGCAACAGGTTTTTAATACATGTAACAGAGGTAAGTCCAAAAGGCACTGGGAACCCAAAGAAGAGAGTGGCTATACCAAAATTATAGAAAGCTCCATGTTTATGAATAAATGTCAAAGTTCAGGTCCACAAAAAAAGCCACAAATCTCAAGCGTCAGCATAGATCCACTAACAAAAAGGAAGAAAAAATTTTACAAAATCGCAAATCATAAATAAATGTGTAAATAAATATAAAGGCCAGCACACAACCCTTCTAAATTTTGATAAATAACTCCCACTAATCCCTAAGAATTTTATTATGACAAGTAACAGAAACTTTAGGCAAAAACGGATAGAGTAAAAGTTATGAGTTCTAATCTAGCTCCCAAAACATGAAGGAAAAAAACAAGGAAATTGGCAGTATTTCTCACAGTGGCCCTTTGAAGAGATACCAATAATAAAAAAGCACTTGGGGGAAAAAAAGCAATTTTTAAAAATGCCATTCAGACTAACAAAAATATTTTGCAGCCACTAATCTTAAAGATTATTCTAAAAATGAGTAAAAGAGAGAAGGGCCAAAATATTTCCCAAATGGCAGAACACAGAGCAGAAATAAAATGGTTTAACTGCCGAAGTACAATACACACAAAAAACAAAGCACTAAACTGTGCCTACATGCTTATTTTTTAGGTTACTTTCAAATAACCTTATTTTACCATTTGCAACTTAGAAACACAAAATCATCAATAGTTTTTTAAAAAAGCTGTTAGTCAGGGTGTGACTGTTCTGAAACCATTCTTGACCTTTACAAACAAATCATTAACCTCACCAACCTGATAAGACAACCTATATCAGGTGCAGTAAAACAAAAAATGTCCTTCTCTTCCTAATAATAATTCTTTTAATACGTAGCTACCTCCTTAAAGTGCAGCATTCATTTTCTTCTCATATCTGCTAGTAAAAAATTAAAACTAGGTTACCCAGGTTTTCTTATCATTATGTGAAGTCATCCTTCTACTTTTAGAAAAAAGAAATTCAGTTTCACTGAGTATGACTGACAGTAACTGAAATTGCAGGTCTACATGCAGTCCTTACAAGAAACTCGCCTCTAAGGAAGCATCACCAAAATGAGACAGGTGTACACGTGTGGAATTGGTTAACTTTCCAAATGAAAGCGTAAACCCAACTATTCATTTGATAGGCTAACGACAAAACCAGAGTTCTCTCTGGAGCTAAACACCTAATTTTTTTTCTCCCTAGAAGCTATAAATCAGCAAAGACATTTTAAATCCTGTATATGAAGTTTTATTATTTCCAACACATTAAATAATTTTAAGGGTCAAAGGGAACAATAACTCTTAAAAATATACAGAAACAAAAACACTAAGAAAATAAATTCACTGACCATTACTTAAGGTCAATAAATACCTTATAACTTAAATCCTAGAACATTTATCACTAAACAGTATCATCTGAAATAAAACTAAAATGTTGGCCAAATCGCATTCTACACACCTACGGTTAACAAATGAAGAGGTCTCTCTGGACCCATTAACTCCTATTTCACCCTGTTCCTTTTAAAGTTTATAATGCATACACTCTTATATAATAAAAACACTGAGAAATCTGTGAAACATTCATTAAACATAACTGTATAAACATAAATCGTGGCACGGAATTCATAAATTACCGATACTTATTTTGAAGTATCCGGGAAAATAAACTTTGGGAAGGAGTCATTTCTATCCTGTCTATCCTATTTTACAGAGTTGGAAAAAATAAAGAAAGGAACTAACACCCCAAACTGTAGAGTAGCTCATCGGAGAA